CCATATCCTTAATGAACATAGATGCAAAAATTCTCAATAAAATACTTGCAAACTGCATACAGACACACATCAAAAAATCATTCATCATGATCAAGTTGGCTTTATCCCAGAGATGCAGAGCTGGTTCAATATATGTAAATCAATAAATGTCATATATCATATAAATGAGCTCAAAGACAAGAACCACATGGTCATCTCAATAGATGCAGAGAAGGCCTTTGACAGAATTCAACATGTGTTTATGTTCAAACTCCTAGAGGGAACTGGATTGGAGGGAACATACCTCAACATAATTAAAGCCATATGTAACAAAAACACAGCCAACATTATTCTAAATGGAAGCATTCCCACTGAAATCAGGAACCAGACAAGGCTGTCCACTATCTCCACACCTCTTTAACATAGTGCTTGAAACTCTTGCAAGAGCAATAAGTCAATAGCAGGAAAATAAAGGAGTAATAATCAGAAAGGAAGAGATCCAATTATTCCTTTTTGCAGGTGATATATCTAAGAGACACCAAAAATTCCACCAGAAAACTCCTAGAAATTATTAACACATTCAGTAAAGTGGCAGGTTACAAAATTAACCTACAAAGTCTATAGCCTTTCTGTATACCAGTAACAAGCAATCAGAGAAAGAATACAAACACTCCCCTTCACGAATAGCTGCAAAAAAAAATCTCAGAATAAACCTGACCAAAGACATTAAAGACCTCTACAATGAAAATTTTAAATCTTTAAAGAAAGAGCTTAAGGAAGACATCAAAAGATGGAAGGACCTCCCATGCTCATGGATTCCAGGAATTAATATTGTGAAAATGACCATCCTACCAAGAGTCATATATAGATTCAATGCAATACCAATCAAAATCCCCATGACATTTTTCACAGAATTGGAAAAAACTATCCAAAGATTCATATGGAAGCACAAACAAACTCGGGTAGTCAAAGCAAACCTGAGCACTAAGAGCAATGCCAGGGGGAATATTATACCAGATTTTAAGCTGTATTACAGAGCTATAGTCACAAAAACACATGGTAATGTCACAAAATCAGACACACAGATTAATGGAACATAATTGAAGACCCAAACACGAGTACATGCAATTTCAGCCATTGGATATTTGACAAAGGTGCCAAGAGCACACACTGAAGGAAAGACAGCATCTTCAACAAATGCCTCTGGCAAAACTGGATCTCCACCCGTAGAAGAATGAAACTCGCCCCTTATCTTTCACCTTGCACAAAAATAAACTCCAAATGGATCAAAGACCTCAATGTGAAACCTGAAACTCTGAAACAGAAGAAAACATAGGTAGTACCCTACAAGATAAAGGTATAGGAAAGGACTTTCTAAATCAGACAGTAGTTGATCGGGAATTAAGGTCAACAATTAACAAATGGGACCTCATTAAACTAAAAAGCTTCTGTGCAGCAAAAGAAACAACTAACGAAGTGAAGAGAAAACTCAAAGAATGGAAGAAAATCTTCACTAACGACACATCTGGGAGATGTTTAACATCTAGAATATATAAAGAATTCAAGAACAAGAAATTAAGGCAATAAATGACGTAA